TGAGAAAGGAGTGTGATCACAGTTTGAGTTGGTAATCCAAGAGAACATAGTGTAGAAAAGTAAAATTTTAAAATAATATTAAATAAAAATTTACAATAGATAATATTAGCACTTATATTAGAAAATGATAATGAAAATTTATGATCTGAAAATACATCCTTTTCCAGCACTTCCATTACAGTGGCCAAAAGTCACATGAATTTGTCTATTACCATCCCATTCATGGAGAAAAAACCGATATGCAATCCCGGTGCTATTTTCTACTAATAGGAATCAGGGCTTCTCAGGAACTAAAATCTTAGCTAATGGTAGAGAAAAATCAATATGGGTATGGAATAGCTTGTTGCCTTTAAACAAGAAACTTTCAGAAATGTCTCAAAAGTAATGCTGAAAAGACTAGGAAGGGGATAGCCACATTGCCATAATTTGAGCAGTAAGAATATTCTAGTTCAATGGAATAACTTATATCTATGAAAAGCTTTGAGTCCATAACAGTACTCAACAATGGACAAGTAAGGTATACAAAAAGGTCATTAAATAACAAACAGAAGGGCAATTTTTAAAAATATTTTTAATAGGTAGGTTAGAGGTTTGACATATAGATGTTAATTTTTATTTGATGTACATTTTAATATATATACATATTTATTCTCAGTAATAGAAAGAAACAGCTACATTGAATTTTAAGTCAAATAGCTCAAGAAAAGTTTTAGAGTTTTCTTGATGGACCAAAAAGTCATCTGCTCCTATGGACACACATAATAGCCAGTAGACTCCAGCAGTGTGTTGGAAGCTGATGCATGAGGCAGCAATCCCAAAAAGAGAATCTGCTGCCCTAGATTAAGAATGCTGGATGTGTTTATTAAAAAATACTGAGAAACTAAGTCATCACAAAGTAAAGGTTCACTGTCTGGGACCAAGATTTGAAGGACATGGAAGATCATAGCGTGCTCTACATTGCTAGTACAGGACAGAGGCTTCCAAGGACTCACTGACATAGCAACGGAACCTTGACTCTCAAGAAAAAAAAAAAAACTCAGGGCAGTAAACATAAGCCCAGGACTGAACTAACCTCGAAGAGATCCACTAAGATCCTATATGCCCATCAAAAATCAAGTGGCTGATAACCCGAAATCTGTAAACTCAGCTGCTCTGAAATTCCATTCTTAGTTTCAAGTCTAGCAAGATTCCTATAACTCCAGGAAAGTGTAATCACTGAGAAGCATAAAAAACAGGGAAGGGATAAAACAAATTTATAAATAATGAAGAAATAAATCAAAACTCTTGTATAAATACTTCTTAGTTAAGTGTAGGTATAATAAATTTTGAACTCTATTGTGATTGTGTATGTGTATGTGTGTGTGCATGCACGCATGTGTGCCATCTGCTTTTAAAGTTTGTGAAGCTTTTAAATGAAATCGGAA